CTTGACTGTAAACAACATAAACAATGCAATAAATAGTTTTGAAGAAAAATCTGCTTTGTCATTGAACCTGAGAAAAACTTTGAAAATAACCATAATGATCTCCATGCTACAATGATAATGATAGAAGCAAAGTTTTTCATTGTGGGGACATATCTTTATAAGTACAATTTGACTGTATTATTTGTGTCCCCTTCAAAAATTGCTCATGTTTAAAATAATTAAAATAATTTTATATTTATTGTCCCCCCCCTACTGTTAAATGAAATTTACGCCCATGCCTGTCTGCTGTCAGGACAGCAACCCAATTTCAATTCCATGTGGACACAACTTCTGTATTCTATGCATTGGTCAGTACTGGGACTACGCAACAAAAGTGAGTAACCTTTATGTAAGGAGGTCTTTCCAAAAGGCCTGATCTTCGCATCAACAAAGGTTTTGTAGATATTTCAGAAAAATTAAAAAATTCACTTAAAGTTAAAGCCAGGCAGCTAAAAAGTTTATATCAGCAAGGAAAAGTCTTCACAGCCAATCTCTGTGCAAATCTCCACATTCTTCCCAATTGACTCTGGGGTTTGCCAGGAGTGTGTTCTTGCTCCTACTCTGTACAATGCTTGCATGGACTGGGTGTTGGGCAGGGTCCTGCAGTCCAGCAGCTGTGGGGCATCTGTTGGTGATGAAAGCTTTACTGATATTGACTTTGCCGATGATGCTGTGATCTTAGTGGAGTCAATGGAGGCTCTGATTGGGGCTCTTCAGTGACTAGGTGAGTGTCTGGGATTGCAAGTGTCCTGGATAAAAACCAAGATCCAGGCCTTTAATGACTTCTTAGGCACAGCCTTCAGTAGTGTCTCAGTCTGCAGTGATTCACTTACCTCGGCCACGACATTCATGTCTCTGGTCATTTTTCCTATGAAGTCATTAGATAGAGCATGGGTGATCATTAGGTCACTGGAAAGGGGTATGTGGTGCTCCCAATATCTTTGCAAGAGGTTGAAGGTCGAAGTCTTTAGAGTCCTGGTGCTCCCTGACTTGCTGTATGGCTGTGAGACATGGACACTATCTAGTGAGCTGAGATGAAGACTGGACTCCTTTGGTAATGTGTCTCTTCAGAGAATCCTTGGGTACTGCTGGTTTGACGAACGAGCAGTTAGTAGAGGAGTCCTGATTGAGGCACATTACCTGGATAGTGAAGGAGTGTTAGTCACGGCACTACGATCATGTAGAACGTTTCCCTGAGGGTGATCCGGCTCACAGGATCCTCGTTGCTGAGGACCCGAGCGGCTGGACAGGCCAAGGGGACGCCCACGTAACACCTGGCTGGGGCAGATGGATAGACATTTTCGGAGGGTGGGAATGGACTGTGTGTCTGCCTAGGGAGTTGCCAGCCGGGATCCCGATGTGTTTCATCATGTGGTGGGTGAGGCAAGATGCTGCATCAGTGCATGCTTCCCAACCTGACCTGACTTTACCTGATTTAGAATGGAATGTCATAAAAGTTCCTGTAGGTGTAATGGCCAGATGTCTTAATACTTCTGTCCATATAGTGTATATGTGTATGCATTTTGTTTTCTGAAGATTCTTTCTCATGGATTCCTGTACATTCATCCACAGATTCAACTGAGAGGAACTGCAACAGAAGTTCAGCAAATGATTCAACACTGGGTGAAGAAACTGAAGGTTAGTAAAGAGTCAGTATATCTCTGCAAAGTGATTTACAAACTCACAATTATCCTGTAGTCACACAAAGTATAGTGGTGCCTTCCGACTATTTTATCTTCAGAGCAATGTAGAGATGGAGACTGAGGACAGCTTGCATTTCTATTCAGAGTGACCTATGTCTAGGGACAATAGGTGAACATTTCAGGTCCAGAAAGTACAAATCCAGATCAGTTGAGTATAAAAAGTCACAATGATAAAGTGCTCAACTAGAAAAAAGCTGTTTGAAATTGATAAGCAGAACTTTCCCTATGGATTTAACTTATAAGTAATAAATAATAACAGTATTTACTTATATTAAAAAGATTCCCACTCTCCTCTTTCCTTTTTCAGAGCTGGAGAGAAATGTGCAGGTTTGGGATGAATCCACTCACTGATTGAGGTCTAACATGAAAATTGATTTATATGGTGGCTTGAAATTTGATAGGTCTTGGAGCAGCAGCATGAAATGGTTGTTGTAGTGCTGCAACTTGGTTAACAGGTTGATGGGTGGCTTTTCTGGTGTGGCATGTCTGTGTTCGGGTCCCTGGATGGAACTGGGTTCTGTTGAATCTGCCTAGAGATTTTAAAATCGATTCCTTTTTGGGTCCTGGACTGTAGGATTAATCTATCATTAATGTATGGTGATCTATCTGGCTTGTAATGTATGTGACACTAGATGATGAAACTGCAGCACCCAGGCTGCTGTTGGAT